ATATTTTCCCCCAAATCAAGTAAACGGTTACGCCCCAGCCCAAAATACCCAAAAAGCCCACGCTTCACACCCTTTCGCTCTCTCTCTATATAAACCCACACCCCCCCACAATCCACATGCACACACAAATCCATAAAACAAATCATCTCTCTCCCGAAAAATGGCGCGAACGAAGCAAACCGCTCGTAAGTCCACCGGCGGCATCGCCCCTCGGAAGAGCTTGGCCACCAAGGTTTTCTTCAGAAACCTCGATTTTTTTTCTCGTTTTCCGTTCTGATTGATTTTGTTCTAATCAAATTCACCTTGATGTTGATGTTATGACACAGTACGTTCGGAAGTCCGCCCCGACCACCGGCGGGGTGAAGAAGCCCCATCGCTACCGCCCCGGCACGGTCGCCCTCCGGTAAAATCTCTAAAACCCTAGCCTACGATGCTTTCCCGTTAATTCTTCTTATTTATATTTAATTTATTAAAATTTTTCGATCGAAAAAACAAAAACAAAACAGTGAAATACGGAAGTACCAGAAGAGCACGGAGCTGCTTATCCGGAAGCTGCCGTTCCAGCGTTTGGTTCGTGAGATTGCGCAGGATTTCAAGTCGGATTTGAGGTTCCAAAGCCACGCGGTGCTGGCGCTGCAGGAATCGGCGGAGGCTTACTTGGTGGGGCTGTTTGAGGACACGAATCTGTGCGCCATTCACGCCAAGAGGGTTACGATCATGCCGAAGGACGTCCAGCTGGCAAGGCGCATACGTGGAGAGCGCGCTTAGGTGGCGGCGGCCGGCTGATTGATTACATCAATATCTATATATATAACAATAATAATAATAATATTAAGTTGTTAGCTTTCTGGATATTTGATGTTAGTTTTTGAATATTAATGCGAGTGTTTCTAGGGTTCTTTCATATTAAGATTTGGGTTCTTCATATTCAAATTCATCCAAGAAGATGATTTGCATGGTTTGGGAATAAAGGCCAAATTGTAAAATATAGCCAGTATCTTGTACGTAGTGGCAATAATAGCCATCATCTTTACGAATTGGCAATATTAGCCAACAACTTTCAAAATTTCAAATTATTACCCAAATCCAACCAAATTCGACAGATAAATTGCAAAATATAGTCAGTATCTTTTTACGCAGTGGCAACAATAGCCATCGAATTTGTTCGGACAT